GGCGCTGTCCCCCCGGCCGGCGCGGTCCCCGTGTCCCCCGCGCTCTGCCCCGCCTCGGCGCTGTCCCCCCGGCCGGCGCGGTCCCCGTGTCCCCCGCGCTCCGCCCCGCCCCGGCGCTGTCCTCCCACCCCCGCGCCCAGGTCCCCTTGCCTCATGTTCTCCACTGTCCGGCCGTGGTGGCGCAGCAGGCAGACGACCGCGGCCACCGTGGAGGCCGAGACGCAGAGCGCGCAGTACAGGGTGATCTTGGCGTAGAACCTGGCCGAGCGGCTCAGCTGCACGAGCAGCAGCAGCAGCAGCAGCGCCGCGGTCAACCACGGCCAGAGCTCCATGGCCCCGCCACGCCCGGACCGCGCCCCGGCGGCGGCGTCCCGGGATCCCCGACGGCGCGGGCCTCGGCTGCAGCTAAGCTCCAACCGCCGCGAAGACGACCTGCGGGCTGGCGACCGCTGGCCTCCTCTCGCGCGCCCGAGCCCCTTATTGCGACGGCGGAGGGGCGGGGCGGCCCGGGGCGGAGAGAAGAGCGAGCGTGCCCAGGAAGCTGCTAGGTGAGGCGCGGCCCGCCCCGCCCCGCGACTGCCCCGCCACCGCGCGATCCGGGGCGCCGCCCCCGCCCCGCCCCGCCCCGCGACACTCCCCCTGCCCCTGCCGCCGGGTCACCTAGCTCCTGGAGGCGCGATCCCGGTCCCAGCCTGGCAGCCACGCGGCGAGTCACCTCGGGCTCTGGCGCCGCTCCCCCGCGCTCGGGGCCTCCCCGCCCCCCACCCCCCTTGTGTTCCGCTCATCCCCGCGGCCCCTTATCCCAGAGCATAGCTCCAAAGTTACCCAAGGACGCGACTTCCTTGGCAGCCCGGTCGCCACGCAAAGGAGCCCCTGAAACGCGCCCGGAGGGACTGCCACCTGGCCACCTGCTCCTTCCGGTCCCCTGGGGCAACTTCAGGGAGAGGGGGCTGGCCCTGGGGTACCTCACTCTGCGGGCCTGATGTGCACACCCAGTCCGGGTGGAGGCAGCAGGAATGGAGCGGGTTTCTGGGCGCGGCTGGGGGTGCCCGCTTTGGGTGCCAGGACAGTGTGTCACCATGGCCAGGAGCAGATCCAGCCATTGTGCTCACACCTGAGCTCCATCGTTGGCTGGCCCAGGGTGGAAGGAGGGCCATGGCTGGGTGTCCGGGTCACAGCTGCAGGGGCAGCCTCGGGGTCCCAGAGAGCAGACTGAGGTGGCACCTGGCCTCTTCCAGGAGGCCCGGCCTGTCCGGAAGTATCTGTGTGTCTCTGGGGTTTTCAGGTGCTGAAGCAGCCGGTTACTGACATGCTCTCCTGACAGCCCTGAAACTACCTGGTTTCGTTTCTTTTCTTTTCTTTTCTTTTTTCTCTTCTTTTCTTTCTTTCTTCCTTCCTTTTTCCTTCTTTCTTTCTTTCTTTCTTTCTTTCTTTCTTTCTAAGATTTTATTCATTTATTTGACAGAGCGAGAGACTCAAGCAGGCAGAGCAGCAGCATGAGAGGAAAAGCAGGCTCCCTGCTGAGCCAGGAGCCTGATGTGGGGCTCCATCCCTGGACCCCAAGATCATGACCCGAGTCGAAGGCAGTCGCTTACACAACTGAGCCACCCAGGCGCCCCAATCTGTTTTCTTTTCTGTTTTTTCTTTCTTTTTTCGGTGCAAAATTGTGGTTTTGTTAAAGCACAGGCATAGGGCTGTGGGAAACGAGCTGCTGTCTCAGAGCGGATCTGTGCACCCACAGATACAAACGCTTCGCTCCTGGGCTCAAGGAGACCTCTTGGTCTTGGGCAGGTGGGCTCCCGGAGTGGGTGTAGAGGCCGTTCACGATGTTCCTGACGTGTCCCCATGGGAGGTTTGCTTCACCTGAGTTCCATGCATGGTGTTTCTCCGTGGGACCAATGAGAGCCTCCTGGCTCCGTCTCCGTGCATCTGTGGGGACACATCTTTGTGTCACACCATCAGTACAGCTCTGGTCTCTTTCCATTCTTGCGACAGGCTCGTGCTGCCCCTCCAGGGGAAGCCGGGAGCCCTCCAGGGAGGCTGTCGGATCCCGGGGCCCCTGGGCAGACGGCAGCAAGACCGGAGAGCCCATGGGTCGGTGGGCGTGGGCGGCCACCACACAGGGCTGCAGCTGCAGTCGGGAGGGGGCTGGGTCGCAGCGGGCTTCCCTGCGGCTGCTAGCAATGCCTGCGGATGTAGTCCTCAGGGGTCCTGACAGGGTGCACGGAATGCGGGTCTCACCAGCTGCGCGGGGCTGAAGGGGCCGCGGTATCCGAGGGGATGTCTTTCTGGTCCCCGAGCAGCCCCCTATCCAAGGGGACCCCTCCAGCTCTAGCTCCCCCGCCCTGCCCCGCCTCACCCTGCCCCACTCCCAGCACTTCCTATGACTCGGGTGACGCGATTGTAGGCCTGTGCTGAGCCCCCCTGACCCGGCGGGGCCCGTCTGTCCTGCTCACAGGGGCACGACCAGCGCTGAGACCCACGCCTGGCTCGCGGCGGGTATGTACTCCCCAGCAAGTGCACCCCCACTTTACAGGTGGAACCTCCCAGAGGCGAGAGTCCGAGGGTCGCCTTGCTGGAGTGACAGGGGAGGAGCCTGGTCACTGTGTCCACACCTGCTGCCCGAGGTGGCCAGTGGCTGGGGCCTGCCCTGTCCTCTGGCTCCCAGGGGCAGCAGTTCTGGGATCACTGCTGTGTCTTCATACAGACAGAAAGTCTGTTACCCAATCTCACCTTCTTCCCCAGTTTCCTCCTGGGGAAATGTTGAAAGAAAAGAAACATTCTTTCCCTGATGGGATGTGGGTGTTGGGGGCTGGGGACACGCCCCTGGCGTGGGGCATCAACTCCCTGGGTGTGGTCTGGTCTGAAAGAAATACTCAGTACCGCCCAGTCCTATTTGGAAAGCTAACAAAACCCTTTTTGTCTCTGGAAAGTGAAGCCCGGGAGAATCTTCTGGGTTGGTGGAGAGAGATTTTCTCTTAAATCAGTGATTCTCAGCTAAGTAGAGATGGGCATGGCCCCACTCAGGTTCCACCCCAGAATGGGGAAGCCTTGGTCCGATGGGCAGGGATGCACAGTGTCCTGTCTGACCCTGCCAGGAGCCTGGGGTCCCTACGATGACCTGGGGGCGTGCTGGGGAGCTCCAGACTAAGTCGGCCCCAGTCCCTGACGGTAAGAACGGAGAGCCCTGCTGGGCCCTCCTGGGCTCCTCCAGACGCCAGCAGACACAAATGAAGCTGAGCCATCCCACCTCCCGAGGCCCACAGGAGCTCACAGCCTAGGAGAGGGACCATCACTGGATGCCAGGTGCCGGGTGCTGGGCCATGGGAAACCAGCTGGCTCCCATGGGCAGAGCTGCTGGAGGCTGACCAGCCCACCTGCCCATGCACCCAGGGCCTCCTCCTGCCAGCACCCGGGCGGGGCCCTGTGTTCTCCAGGTTTCTCTCCACTTGGGTGGCGTGTCTGAAGGGAAGGGCCAGGGCTGTCCCTGCCTGAAGCTGAGATAAAGTGAGCACTGAGTGACCCTCCCCACCATGTGGCACCTGGGGCAGGGCCGGGGCACCTGGCCTCTGATGTTCCAAGATGTGGCTTCATAGTGCAGTTGCCCAAACCACCCAAGCCTCGGCTTCCTAGTCTGTAAAACGGGGACGCTAACTCACCCAGCTAGGCTGGGATGAACTGGGCCATGGCCCAGGCTGGCCCGGTAAGGGCCTCTCCCGACTTCGCCTTCAGCTTGTGAAGGTAGGTTCCTCTCTCCTGGAAACTGCCAGGGAGGAAGTGAGACAGGAGCATGGTGACAGCTCAGGAAGGACTTCTGGGCAATTCTGCGAGATCAGGGTGCGGGCCAGGGAGCCGCCGACTGTACAGCTGGGCACGGGCGTGGTGGGGGGAGCTTCCCATGACCCCTGCTCCCTCTGGGGAGGAGGGCATCTCCAGGGGGCCCACCACCTGGGGAGAAGACTCCTGGAACTCAGAGGTCAGGCTGGATGGGAGGAAGGGAGGAAGCTCAGAGAGCCTGGCAGGTGGGGGTGGGGAGAGGGGCACTCCCAGGCGCCTCCCAGGCCTGCAGGGCTTCAGACCTCTCTGTGGCCGAGGCCCTCCGCCACCTGTAAATAAAGCAGCCTGTGAATCTTTCATGGGCTTGTGCTTAAAAATAGATGAGGTAAGGCCTCTGGGCAGACTCCCAGGTCTCTGCCCTGGGCAGTGTCCGGGCCACAAACTCCCCAGGGAGGCAGGGAGGGAGGGAGGGGGAGGGCTGGCAGGCTGGGGTGCTGGGGATGGAGCTGGCCCGGGCACACGGAGCCTGGGACATGTGGCCCTGAGCTCAGGGGCCAATGGAAAGTCACCATCTGGTTGTGCCCTCTGGAGCAACTGGGTCCCAGGCTGGGGGGAGGAGGGCCTGGGAGGGGCGGAGCAACGGACCCATGGGTAAGTAGGACCATGGGACAGAAGAGGGGAGACAAGGCCCCAAGAGGAACTGGACCTGGAAGTTCTGGTCTTGGGGCTGAGGCCCGTCCAGCTCTACAGAAGAGCTGGGCCCCCCACACGGCGGCCCCCCACACACCCCTCGCACCCATGGCACGCCAGTCTGACCTCCACGCTCGCATCGGCAGGCTCACCGAGGCTCTAATGGCAACCAGAACCCTGGGTTCCAGAGGTGCCCTTGGAGGTGGCCTCGCCCAGCCCCCACTGGAGAGACAGGAACACGGGGTCCTAGAGAGGACAGCCCTGGGACTCCAGCCAGCAAGATGGAGCAGGAGCCCCCTGGGTGATCCGGGAGCAGCCCTTCCTCACAGGGCCTCAGCTTCCTCGTCTGAGCTGAGGGGATGTGGATGGGCCCCTAGGGGCCTGGGAGGGTAAAGGGGGTAGGCCAGGCGGGATGCCAGGCCTGCCAGCGGCTCCTTCTCAGGCAGGCTGCCCTCTGATCACCTCACCCCTGCCCAGCTGGCATCTGGACCAGATCAGCTGCCCCAGCACTCCCTGGCCAGCGCACTGAGTCGACGGGGCTGGGGCCAAACCGGCTGCCCTAGGCCTTGCCCCATCCACTTCTGGCTTTGGCTGCTGGCTCAGGGGCTGCCTCTGTGAGTCAAGGGGCCCTGGAGGCTCCCTGACCCTGTCTCTCCTGCCTCCCATTGAAGGAGAGAGAGGAGGCAATGAGGGCCTGAGAAGGGGCAGCCCTACGTACGCTGTGAAGGCCAGCATCCTGCCTCCAGCACTGGGGTGGGGGCAGGGAGGCTGGCTGGGAGGAGGCTGGAGGGAGGAGGGTGGTGGCCTCCCAGCCAGGCTTCCTTCACCTTCCCATGACCATGCGGAATTCCTGCAACCCTGGAGAGCTCACGGGGTCCTCTCCCGTCCTTCTGACTTCGGGGGCTGGGGTCTACCCCATGAGCCACACCCGTGGCCAGTGATGTGGCCGGTCCGGGCCTTCGGGGGCACCTCGGCAAAGGCAGGCCAGAGGCTCAGTCTCGCCGACTTA